TTCCCCTCCCCCACCTCAACGGCTATATAGCCGTTTGAGGTGTGCCCCCCCACCTTTTTTTTTAACTTTTTTGCATTTCAATTTTCAAATAAAAAAAAAAAAAAAATACCGGTACCGGAACCGGACCGGTACCGCCGGTACCGGTACCAAAAAATAGGTACCGGAACCGGTACCGAAAGTGGCGGTACCGGTACCGGTTCCCGGAAACCGTGACACGGGGACCTTGCCGGTGACGGTGGCGGGTACCGGCGGTACCGTTGCCGGTGACGGTACCGTACCGGTACCGTGTCCACCCCTAGTTTTGAGTGTATTTCATAAGCTTACCTAAGATCAAGAGCCGATAGAGTGGGGTAATTTAAATTAGTGTTACACTGTCAATATATTTGTTCTTTTTTTGTTAGGTTACCGCGAGTATACTATGAATGTGCCTGATATTGTTTGTAGTCTAGGTTCTGTTTGGGAAGCCTGCATTGGCATATCTGCACTGATAGTTTGAATTATGTTATTGATTAATCTTAGTTTTAATCATGTTATTGATGAATAATGTGTCTTCAAACCTTCATTTTCATGTAGTTATTCGTTGGGTGTTGTTATTTTTCTCAGTCAAGGGATGAGCAAAAGAGAGAAATGAAGTTGATGGACCGTGAAGCTACAGTTTCCTCCTATGTAGGTGGTTCATAAAGCCTCAAATATGGTTGGTAGAGAAGGCATCCCTCTTCAGGAAGGATCAGAAAAGGTAATACAATAGGCGTAACTTTTCCTCTCCAATTCTTTTTTTTTAATAAATTTTCTTAACACCTAGGCTTATTAAATGACAAATGGTTTGAATTCTTTTTTATAGATAACAAGTCTGAGCAACTATAAACTTATGCAAAACTTATAATGTAGGTTAAATATTGAATATGCCTTTGAGAATGCATGTAATGATTCATGTCTTTTGATAAAAAAGCTTTATGTGTGGGCTAAATATTAGAACTATTACTTTTTTTAAGTACAGAACTATTACTTATAAATACTTCTTTCTTTCAAGACATGTACTGTAGGAACTTCCCATAGACTGTGTATATCAATTGATGTCTCAAATGCTAATAGGTTGATTTTTTTTTCTATTTTCTTCCTATCAAGTGTTGTCTCAATTGTTGTCTATATATACGACCATCTTCTTTGATCCACGAGGCAGCATCCCTGACTTCACTAGCATTCTTCGGTCATCCTACATCCTTCTATCAGCGTCTGTCACACTCCACCTCTCTGCAACATTTCCTCATCACCCTGTTATTGCCTGATTGTCCGAATTGTGCAGGCCCTATTTTGTCTAATTAGAGCTGAATTGATGCGGTTAGAGCTGAATTTTACTCCCTCCGTCCCAAATTGTTTGTCACATTTCGCAAAACGAAGTAAAATATCAAATTTTTTCAATTCATTTTATTTAAATATTGGTATAAAAATAAAAAATAAAATTTACATATTTAAAAACTACATGAAAAATTCTTCAAAATAAAAGGTGTCAAGTATGTTTAATTTTATCAAATATCAATGAAAACGTACAAATAAAGAAAAGTTCCAGTGATTGTTGAAAAAGGAAATGTGGTTTTAAAACATTGGGATACACCTCCATTAAGACTTGATTCATTATGGACTCTTTTTCCAACTATGCAGAATTTATGATCTTTTTATATATGGAGCCATGCATCAAAAGTTCACCATTATGAATCTTATGATGCACATTTCTACCAATAGCAAACTTTTTTTTGAGACTGTACTATACTCTCCAAAATTGTCTTAGAGGATGTTTTGGATACAAATGCTAAGAAGGCGCAAGATTTAGTTTTTCAGCATTGGGACTGACATGTGTCATATAACTCGGCGCTTGGCTTGATTTTTCTTTCTGAGTCGGACTGCGTTCTCTACCTCGAGGGTTATGAGTTTATGTGTCAAGCCATGTAGGGCACTTTTATGATTATTTGGAAAGTATTTTCTTTACTAACCAATTATAATGTTTCCGTTCCTGATGTTGGCAGGGGCAATTAACAGGTTGGTGCCGCATTTGTTGACGCCTCCACTGGTTTGGACTAACCAAGAATTGAAAAAAGGGGATTTTCAATGCAAAACTTTGAATCGAATCCATTTGACTGATTTTAAAGTGGAGAACGGCTACACGTTGTGAAAATAAAAGAGATTTCATTTTGAGAAAATAGCCAAATATATAGTAGTTGCACAATCTCAGATGAGTAGATGCGTATGCACCGCGTCGAAGCATATTTAAACTTTGGGTGTGTTTGTCTATTCTCTGTAAAATTGTTGGAGAGTTGAAAATTTTCAATTCAACATTACGGTAGTACTTAAAGTAGTGTGGTGTTCTTTTAATTGAAGGTTTAGGATACCTAAAGCATTAAATTTTATAGTTAGATATAGAATTGCATGTGTGCTAAATGATGGTTTCAAGGTAATGCTTTCTATTCGAGTTTTATTCAATTTTAAAAAAATTCTTTCATACTTTGTGGTATATATGTAATTTGATATATTTGATATATTTTTGCACTTGATATTTCAATTATTCTCTAATAATTATCTTTATTTGAATGCATCAATCTACAGTTTTGAGTGTATTTCATAAGCTTACCTAAGATCAAGAGCCAATAGAGTGGGGTAATTTAAATTAGTGTTACACTGTCAATATATTTGTTCTTATTTTGATAGGCTACCGCGAGTATACTATGAATGTGCCTGATATTGTTTGTAGTCTAGGTTATGTTTGGGAAGGCTGCATTGGCATATCTGCAGTGAAGCTTTGAATTATGTTATTGATGAATCTTAGTTTTAATCATGTTATTGATGAATAATGTGTCTTCAAACCTTCATTTTCATGTAGTTATTCTTTGGATGTTGTTATTTTTCTCAATCAATGGATGAGCAAAAGAGA